GGATTTTTGATCCACTCTAGAATAAAATCCTCTCTAGAACAAAAAATCATTTTGCTAGTTCTCTTTTAAACAACGTGATTTTCAAAAATATGATATACGACAACATCTCAAATAATATGTATCCCATAATAAAATGACGTCGCTGTTATTGTCTATAGCTTGTCTATAGTCTACTGTTCTTGGCAAGAGCATCGTTGTATTTTATGTTATTAAGTCTAATGTATTGTAGATAAGGTAATGCTTTGCCTGTTACTTGTGCATATCGTCTGCTCTGATTACATCTCCAGTATGTTTTTTTTTGACATCTTAACCAATTCACCAAGAGGACGAACATCTCGGGACATCAAAGGTTATAACTCTGGCATCGCCATTCTACGCGCTGCGCGTCCCTACACGCTGATCGTCACAAAAACCATAGCAACTAACCATAATAATAATATTGACGGCTGTACTCGCAACTAGTATCGGATCGTCGATGCCACAGTAAAGATCACAGGACTGTACGCACGCACTATGTTTGAGAGCGGAGATGTGCGTCTTTCTGTTGAATTACCTTGGTCTGGGCTATAGGAATAAAGTTATAATTATTGTTTAAACCACACTCAATCATGACATTTAGAAGAGCGCAGTGCCATTTTTTAATAGTCTCATGAAACTTTTAGGTTTTAGGACTTTTCATTTAGTTTAAAATTTTCATAAATTGTAGTTTAATTAAATATCTCAGAATTTATTATTTGAGATTTGCATATAGATAATAATAATAGCTAAGGTGAAAACAAATTCTTTCACTAGACTCATTTGAGACTCCAAATTTAGTTTGTGCAACCCATCGGTGCAACCAGACTAACACATTCTGTCTTTTCCACAAACTCGGTCGCGTTTATGATTAAAAATTCTAGCGTATGCGTAGAAACTACATAATCTTGGGCAGGCGGCTCAGGACTGGCACTGCAGGTATACGAAAGGGACAAATGCTGCACTGCCAACTCGATACCTATAACTGTGATTACAATTTTCGTCGAAGAGGGATCTGTTCGTCAGTCAAGAAAATAATCAACTGAAATACATAAAATGCCTTACTATAAAAGAGAAACTCACAATAGCCGTTATTGCAGATGGAAAAAAAGACCAAACAACATACTTGAGCTTGAGTGTTCTTGTAATCGCCAAAATAGCCATTATGTCGAATATCATTGTCAACGTTCGTGCTTTTGGAGATATGAAATCAACAATGGAAATCGTGCAATTCTGCGTCGATTTTGCTACTGCGGTCAGTACACGACTTATGTAGGCCAAAATATAGCGGCCAATTAGTAGTCAAAGGTAGCTTCATTTTATTAATTAAAAAACTACTATCAAATAAAATACCATTAATAGTATTGCTATACAGTTTGGTCACCCTCTGCCTGAGGAGTTTAGTTTGAGCGTACTCTATTATACACTTTCTGCATTTTGTAGGGGAAGGGTTAGTTTTTTAGACAATTTATTATTTTCTTTTTCATACGCTCATTTTTATTATTATTATTACTATTATTACTATTATTATTATTATTATTATTATTATTTATTAAGGGATCCCTTCGAGAAAATGTGTATTTATGTCTTTTTCATTATCAGTATCGTTATCGTATATACTATTGATTAGTATAATTAATAGCATTAACATTAGGTTTATACGTCTTATATTAAAAATATTGAATTTCCAAAGTTGAATGGTGTTGTCTTATCTATAAATGAGTGTGTCAAGTAAAAGTTAGTAATTACCATTATCATTACACTTCATATTAATGTTAACATTATCACTATCATGTTTATTATTGTTATAATTATTATTAATATATTTTCTTCTAGATTTTCAATCTAAATCGTGAAGAACAGGAACAAGGAAACAATTAAGCCATCTACACTACCTGCGCTTCATACACGTTAGTGTACCATACCAAACACAAAACTCAGGAAACAGACCTAATGACAGACATTTAAATAACCAATAATGCCTGTTTTGAAAGTGTAAAATATTAAATACATCATGCGGATGCGGATTTGCCTTCTGTGAATAATTTTCTGTGTATTAGATAGACCAATACATTTTCTCTGGGAATCAGTCATGCAAAAATGTATTCTTTTATAAAAAAAAATGAGCCACCCTTACAAAATATTGTTGGAATAAAATGAATAAGATTATACAATAATAGTTATACTGTACAAAATTACAAAATTGTATCCAGCAAATTTATTATATTTTATGGCATTTTTTTGAGTAGTTAATCAAGTGATACAAAGCTGTCTTACATCATTCTGTTTTCTTAATACCTGAAACAATTGTAAGACAGTGAGACTGTTTCAGATATTCAGATAATACCTAATAATAATGATCATTTCCTTAAAATAGTACTTAGAAATATAAATGAATCAAATTCTCAATTATGTTTTTATCTATATGTCAAAACACGCGTAGAATAATTATAACAGTACCATGTAATTTTAATTATTCAATAAAATTTTAGAAAAGAAAAACAAGTTATTTGGGAACATGTTTATATGTGAAATGTTTTTTATTCTAGTTTATTACAATGTTTATTGAGAATATGAGTAACTAACGTACAAAATCGTTTTCAGAATTCAGTTGATATAAATAATACATAGTTGTGTTTTGTACTTGCACAATACCAATAAATTGGAAATATTTATTTATACAAAATTCTCATAATATAAATGTATTTTACTAATTAGTGAATTATAATTACACATACAAAATTCTTATAATTAGAATCCCTAAACCAGTTAAATAAATCATAATCACGATAGGAATTGTGAATATATAATTTTAGTTAGAATTGATTTAACTGATATTTTTTTTTTTCATAAATCATCGACATGATGAAATTAATCGCCAGGTAGTCTAACGTGTACGCAGTTAAGCATCTCTAATTTAAAATAACGGCTTGTGCAGCCTTTGTTGAACATGACATCAAATGGTATATGTGCTGGGAAATAAATAAATAACATATTGTATTTTGCTTTACTTGCATTATTCCTATTTTAGTAAGACTTTATAGTGCTTTCAAAGTTTAACATACAGTTTTTGAACCATAATTTTGTTCAACTAAACTTACCATTGCGTATCGAATCTTCTTTTACATTTTGTCGTAAGTTTATGGTATTTTGATTTCCTGTTCAAATACTGATATTATTACACTGGATTGTATTTACTTTTCAAATTTTAAAAATAACTTTATTACATTGTACCTTAAATAATTAGTCTTGAACAAAAATATTTTATAAATAGTAATTTTAATTACTGCTAAAATGGACGATTTAACATTGTGTGCCAATTTTTTTTCATCCAAGACGCATGCGCACAGTCCTAGAAAAGTTCCACTTTCGTGTCTAGCACCGATTGGTTACGTTCAATATTATACATTTTACTACATAAACTAAACAAATACAAGAAGAATCTCATTCACGATGGGTGCGTTTTTTAGCTGGTTATTTGGTACACCTACGAAGGCTGTAACATATGTAAAGCAGTCCACACCCCCGGAGGAGATCCACGACAAAAAATCATGTGACTGGAAGAAAATTGAAAAACGTGATCGCTTTATATGGGAAAGAGTCTGTAATTGTACAAAATACGGCCCATATGATGAAAATCATCAAAAGAATGAATGTGTATGGATAAAGTTGGTTTCCAAAAACGGGTGCATCTTTCGTCGCTTCTGCAAGTGCTATCTCCACGAAAGTTATGGTTCAAACACAGATACTAATACTTAGTGGAAACTAGTACTTAAAACTGCTTACAGTAATAAGATATGTTTCTTGTTCAATTTGTGTATACACTTTCAGATGGTATTTCTTAGAATACCAAGTGCTTGCTATTTTAGTCTGAGTGTTAGACGTTATAAATATAACAAGAATACAAAAATAATAGTATTACAACCTTGAAAATTAAAAAAAATTTAAGAAAAATAGAAAGCTATTAATTCCCGTCTACCTTTACTTTATCAGTGGTACTCGTAGTACTGTATCCGCACATGGAATTTGGCATACATGTTTTTTATTTATTAATATAGTATTAAAATTGTTTATCTTTTACTGCAGTGTATCGACAAAAAATGTTATTTTTTATATTAAAAAATATACTTGAACTTATATACTTATTATGCTCGTTCTCTAATCCTAGAGTCATTATGGGTTTAAATTCAGCCAAAACCAGAATTTCTTTGCCTTTAAAAATATTTTCCCTGCTTTAAAAATGATACACTCTAAAAGTCACTAGTTAAAAGAACATTTTCAAACAGAATTGTACAAGTATGAAAACCTGGCATAATAGGAGAGTGCCGAAACAGATATCATACATGTAATAATATTCTCCTGATAACGGTTAGAGCAATCTCACTGATACGCCCAGACAACAAGTCTGAAAAGAAAAGAAGAAAAAAAAAGAAAAAAAACAAAAACAAAACAAATAAAAAACAAACAAAAAAGAAACATGGTTTACCGAAAGTTTATGAGTTTGTTATTGATACTCGTCATGCACGCCTTGAAGAAATATTTTGTAAAATAAGGGCTTGGTTTTATTTTGGTTTTTTGGTTGCTGGCAACTCGAAACATGTTTTTTTTTATTAAATCATTTGTGTGATTTCTAAGATCACGGTCTTTTTTTAAAAATCAACTTACGTCATTTGGTTTAATTGTCAAGAATTTCAGTTCAAGAAATTCACCTGTTTTTTTTTAATAAGGAAATTCGGGAAGACATCTACTCGTTTGAACAAAGCCGAATTGGATTATTATTTTCTATGCAACTATTATGTAACATTATAATACATTATTATCATTGTTAGTGCTATTACTATTTCTACTGATATTGCCTGGTTTATTGCGATTACTAATGCTAAATGTTATCAAAGTCAATGTCATTATTTTCATTATCACTATCATTGTTATCAATATAATTATTATCATCAACATTACTATATATATATTATTCGTATTAAATATTTTCTAGGTATCTGCATTTTCAATATACATGGTGAAGAGAAACATCAAGAAACCAACGACCGAATATTTTGACAGCCTGTGCTTTTCCA